TTGAATTTACACCTAACAGCCGATCTTGAAAGGAAAATAAAGGCGATGGAGATGAGAGGCTTCAGAAGAATTTTTGGGATCTGCTATAGGGACCATATCTCCAATGATACAGTGAAAGAAAGGGTTCGTCAGGCAATTGGGGAGTACGATGACCTACTGGTGACTGTGAAAAAACGCAAATTACAATGGTACGGCCACGTAACAAGGAAACAAGGGCTTGCCAAAGAAATATTGCAGGGCACCACAAGAGGAGGGAGAAGAAGAGGAAGACAAAGAAAAAACCCCGCCAATGGCCAAACATTAAGAGAGACCAAAGTCTTAAGTTTAATTATTTAAAATTCATTTTCTAAAGTAAATGTTCGGACCCCCCCCCCCCATTTTTGTGTGTGCATATATAAATCTTAAAATGTTAATAAAAATGAGAAAAAATTGAGCAGAAAAATGAAATGATTGGAGATTAAAAACATATTAGCTTCAAGAGATTTAAAATTCCCAAAATATAGACTTGTGTAAAAATATAGACTTATGGAAAAAAATAGAATTGTGGAAAAATATAGAATTTCCAGGAAAATACCATAATTAATATTATACCCCCCTTCCGTCCCCCGTCCCCCCCAGCACCTTGCTCACCCAGAATTTTGTCAACAATGAGCCCACCACTGAATAAATGTTCGTTTACAAAATGACAAAATGACGTGAAAACGAATATTCCATCACCATGACCATTTTTCATTAAAGTCAAAAAAAAGGGGACCCGGTGGAGGCCCAATTTGTAAGGTGCCATTTTAGGTACGCCTTGAATAGGGGGCCCTATTAAAATCAGTCAGTTAAGATTTAACATTTGCCCCATTTAAATCGGTTGAAAAATGCCGGAGAGCCAGCCATGTAATTGATCGAACTTTCTGGAACATCTCACACTTGTCCAGACTAGAGTAGATAATAATACTCTGCAATCCACCGATGCTTCATTATGGAACATAAAGGATCTGAATATCAATTTCTGTTTCTATATTCACTTAGAATCCTATAATGTTATCTAAGCCTACTGGTATTTATACAGGTTTTTCAGAAAATATGAAGTCGTGGCCAAAAGGCCAAAAAGTAGTGGACAAATGAAATTTGAAATGTGAATTTTGCGTTTATTTACCGAAATCGAATCAATTTAATACAAATTTGTTAGAATGTGTTGTCATCGGCAACGAGCCTTATCTGCCAAGGTTCAGCTGGATAAGTTGAAGAGGAGTGTCAGCTTTTTCTTTCTTTTCTTCTCTGTGTTAAGTTTTTTGTCACAAACTTTTATCTTCGAGCCTATTTTCATAGATTTTTTTTTCACTAGCCTAACGTTAAATGACCTACTGGTGACTGTGAAAAAACGCAAATTACAATGGTACGGCCACGTAACAAGGAAACAAGGGCTCGCCAAAGAAATATTGCAGGGCACCACAAGAGGAGGGAGAAGAAGAGGAAGACAAAGAAAAGGGTGGGAGGATAACATCAAAGAGTGGAAAGGACTAACACTGGGCGATGCAGTGCGTAGTGATGAAGACAGAGAGGAATGGAGGAGGATGGTTCACATGTCATCTGTGGCGCCCCAACGGTCTCTACTTCTGGCAGATGTTTAGGAAATTTGTGTGTGTGAGGGTGGTGGTGTCAATATTAACTGTAATTCATTTAAAATTTGTCTAAGGATAAATTTCTCAAAATATTTAATTACAATAAAAGTAGCCTACTTGCGACATGAAGTAAGTCGTTATTACAAGTGACTTAATTTTTCTTTGAAATAAGTAGGCTATAAATTATTATTTTTCCATATCTTTGGCATGGTGGCCTGGTGGGAGTTTCATAAGAATGATTAAATACGTAACAAAAATATATGAGAAGAGAGCTGTCCTGAGCAGAGTTAAAAAAAACCCTAAACTTCATTCGCCTGTTCCCGAGGCCTTGGCAGGCACATATTATAAGACACAAAAGTATGACATTTTTTTACCCACCTTCTAATCTTTAAAATGTTATATTAGATTTCCATTGACACCCCCTCCCCCCAATTTCTAGCAACCACGCACCTTTGATAAAACATTGGTAATACAAAAATGTTGTTTTTAACCAATTAAATATACAACTGTTACTTTAAACCAAATTTTTATTAGACATACAGTTGATACAGACAGTAATACAGTGCTGCAAGACTTAAGGAAAGCTGTACAAAGACTAGAAATAGTACTAGTACTATTTAAACATGGGGCCGATTAGAACCCGTTCATGAAGTATATATAATATATAAAGGGAAATGAGAAATCCTATTGTTCTGTTAAAAATGTATTTACATTTTTACAATATATCGAGACCAAAAATACATTGCCAAGGGCTAACTCTCGAGAAACCCGTATGTGCGCATGCGCAGTGATGTGTCCGACATTTTGCGCCAACTTTTCACGGTAACTGGAGATGCATAAAGTATATCATTTAACTATTAAATTGAAAAGAAACAAATTATTGTGAAAATATGGTAAAAAATTGTAACAATAGAAATAACATTTTTAGAACCTGGGCGTATCATTTAATTAATGCATTTAAACTATTTCTGAATGTTTTAGCATCTCCCGTCTTAACTTTTTTTCCCAAGAGTTCCGTTCAGTGCACTTCGTTAGTTCTAATAATATTAATTGATCATTGAAATTAATTCTATCTTAAACTTCGCTGAATTTTCTCTTTACAGAAACCTCGGCGCATATTAACCGAACACGTCAATAGTTTTGGGTATAGTTTGTGGATGTAAATAGGTTGTATTCATTGAGTTTTGTGAACATTTTTTACCGACCACATCCATATCTCTCTCATAAGTGGCTGAGAAGTACAAGTCCAAGTAGTGTACAGTTTTAAAAAAAAATGAAGAAAAAGATAAAAGATTGACTTGGATCTGTTAAGTCAAAGTGTCTTTTCTTTAGTAATTAAGTGGTGAAGTTAAAGTCTAATAAAGTGTAGAGGATAAAGCGTAGGCGTAAACTTAAGTCAGTTACTACTTAGTTAACTTATTGTTATTCTTTGTACACCAAAAAATTAAGCTAATTTTAGTAGTATACTGAGTTGAACTGGTTCTGTCAAAAAAGTAGTAGGCAGTAGGCCTAGCCTAATCATTAAATTTACTAGAACTAGCCTACCTCTAGTAAGACATTTATCTTGACTAGCAGAACTGTACTGTAATATAATATAGACCCTAATTACTATCAATGGATGCCTATTTTGTAGTGCTGAAAAATCTCAGAAAAATTCTCTCAACTCTTCAGCAATTTTGAGTTCAAGGCATAAACCAATTAACTTACTCCAAAAATTTGCTTTTTAGCCTAACTATTGATATTAAGTTACAGTATGATTATAAATAATGTTGCCAACATCATGAAACTCACTGAACAGTGAGTGAACAGGCAGTGAACAAAATGAAAGGGCAGGAAGCTATTTGTAGTAAACTACCAATAGCTTCTAGAGAGCTATTGGTAGTCTAGCCAATCAAAGCAAACCAAAATCTTAGCTTTAAAAATCTGCTTCCAATCAGGCTGGCGAAGTATTGCCTCGTTCATATATTACTAGTTTGTACTTGGCACTAATTATAAAATCTACAGTAGGCCTACTGTTTTAAAGTTTTAACACTATCTGCTGTAGCCTTCCCCATGCTCAGATTATAGCTAAATTGCTATATAATTTATAACATAGACCTAATATAGATTTTAGATAGATGTATGATACTGGGGGGAAGGGGATCATAGTCTGAAAAAAAATGTTACCCAGCTTCCTCTTTGCCAAGGCCAAAGTAAGATATGCAGTAAAAATAAAAATCCACTTTAAAAAAATTGTGTGTTCTAATTATGATTAAAATTATAAATTAAAATACAGGCCTAAATAATTACCATAAGAAGTTTTACTGCATACAATGTGTGCATATTAAAAACAAAATACTGTTAATTTAGTTAAATGAAACTGTATAATAACGTGATGAGGCTTAACGATGATAAAATAAGCTTAGGCCAAACATTGTTTAGAAACATGGTCACATAAACCAACACCACCCTGCTTTGATTTTCTGTTGTTGGGAGAAATGTCTGCTGAGTGTTATTTATTTACATTAATGAGGACTCATTAACTTATAAAGGCATCAGTATTTTTTATGTATAATTAAACAATTTCTTTGGGTATATTGTGCAACTATAACACAAATTAATCAATTTAATGTCTAGGAATCACTATTTTATTTACTATTTATTTTTTAATGCTATGTAGAGTATGCAGAATCAATGTTTTAAACTGCACATAATTTTGATGAACACATAAGCAGTGATACATAAATAAAATAAATTAAAAACAGGACAATAAGATTTGAACGTTTCGGCATAGAGCCTTCTTCAGCGCACAGGACAAAGGAAAATATCACAAGTAACAGAGCACAGTAAACAACTCAAGAAATATCCATTTTTTCAGCGGAAACGTTCAAATCTTATTGTCATGTCCTTTAATTCAAGCTTCAACATACCTCGTTTTGCTATTCCAGTTAGGCTAGGCCTATTAATATTATTTAGCATAGGCATATTTTCATTAACTCTTTAAAAATTTATTAAATAACTAAGTGTGTAATAATTTCTAAAAACTTGCAAAACCTGACTTCTGAAAAGTCTATCCCTTTTCTGACCATATCAAGATTTTAAATGTTAAATGCAATTTCAATGAAGAACTTGTTTTCTTGGTGTCAAAAAGTCTAATGAGACAAGAACCTTGAATTTTACCTTAAAACGGTTCAAGTGGTAGTTTATTTTATTTAAACTGTAGAATTAAGTTTACAAACATATAGTTCATTCAATTATCTTTCATTTGATAGCTCATTTTGTCTTACAAACCCAACAATAAAATTTTAAATCGTTTTTTAATCCCAACCTCACACTTCTAGTACCCGGGTACTAATAGTTGCAGCCAAATTATTAACACTCATTTGATTACTATTTCTGTCAAAGGTCATCAACTTGTTGAAATAAGACAAAATGATCAAACATTATGAACAACAAATACTTCAATAAGCTGCATATACAGATTAATAATTGATAAAGAAAGAAGAAGTCAAATACGCAAGCACCATTTTTTAAAGCTGAATCAAGAAATTCAATCGACATGTCAAATGCAGAGCTATGGGACCTGGATACAAGTGGCGGCATCATGGAGGTAGGTTTTGTTTAAAATTAATTGTAACCCTTTTTATTCCTTCATATTTATTTGGAGGTAGGTTTTGTTTAAAATTAATTGTAACCCTTTTTATTCCTTCATATTTATTTGGAGGTAGGTTTTGTTTAAAATTAACTGTAACCCTTTTTATTCCTTCATATTTATTTGAAAAGTGGGGCATTGGATCAAAATTCTCAGTTCACAGCTTCCAATTCTGGATGATTATTTTACAAACCATCCATCCCTGTGGCGCTACAGCCCATATAGGGCTTTGACCTGCCTCACCACTCCCTTCCACTCAGACCTAACTAATGCCTTTCTTTTTCATGCTTGGACTTTCAGCTGCTGTAGATCTTTTTCCACATCATCCATCCACCTAAACCTAGGTCTGCCTTTGAGCCTTTTTCCTCAGGGGTATTGGTGATGCACCCTCTTCTTTCCTCTGTCATTTGGCATTCTCTCTAAGTGTCCTGCCAAGCGTAGCCTGCCCCTTTTTATTTCTGCTACTATCGTGGGATCCTGATATAGACTGTATAATTCATGGTTGGTTTGTATTTCCATCCATATTTATCCTTTGTTGGCCCATATTTTTTCCTGAGAACTTTCCTCTCCCATGTGTAATAGGTTTTCTGCCATTTTTGTTAGGGTCCAAGTTTCACTTACATATGTTACAACTGGTCTGATTACAGTTTTATAAATAGTTTTCTTTGTTTCTCTTGTAATGTTTTTACTTTTGAGTATTTTCTGTTTCTGGCTGATATTCTTTCTTTTATTTCTGTTAGTAATTCGTTTCTTTCATTTAACAAAGATCCTAGGTATTTGAATTGATTTACTTTTTCAAAAGTCTGGTTTCTAATTTTAATTGCTTCAACTGTTTGTTCTTCTCTTATCATGGTCATGTATTTTGTTTTACAGTAGTATTGCTAAGATGGTAATTAAATCTATTACTAAAAACTGACAACATTATACAATAATTATAGAGATTTTGAAATAAAAATTGTACCACACAAACTGGAAGGTGTATATGATTTAAATGAATTTTCATATCATATCCTTTTGAGAAAGAAATATCCAAGTTTTGAAAAAAGCAAAATGGCAATAATATGCACATTTCTTTAATTTTGATAAAAACTTTCTGATATAACTTTACAAAATGCATGGTTTCATTAAAGCACAACTTTAGCGTTGGACTTGAAAAAGTATGCAATTTATAGGGGGGGCCATTGTACTTTATTCTGCGTTTTCTTTCATCAAGTTAAAATCTCTGTTTAAATCCTGTCATCAATTTAGGTTTGTTTATTTTTATTTAAGCAAATTCAAATGCTCGTAGCACCACCTGTGAGTGCTGATGCCCTACGAAGATCACGCCGTCGGAGAGAACGTGAAGTTTATCGACGTCCTGGGCGTGCTGTTAATCATGACTGTTGTGACAGTTGTAAAGAAGGTGGAGATCTAATATGCTGTGACCGCTGCCCTGCTGCTTTTCACTTGTTGTGCCAGTTAGTTTTCTTTTTCGTTGGGTTAAAATGAAATAAATAAGTTATGAAGAAGAGAGTTTGTAGCTGTTTCACAATTAAATGGAGAAGTAGTGCAAAAGGTCTCTTTCCAAAGTGTTTTAGATTCTTGCATTTTGACTTCAATGCAAACTGTAAACATTGCTATTTATGTTTTTTTGAACTGAATGAGAGAAATTATACAAATTTTATGAATCTCTCAGCATTAATGACATATTTTTATTTGATAGTTACTGAAAGTTCATCAATATAAATAATATATATATATATATTAATCTTCTAGTGCAATACATACATTAATAAATGCTTCTAAGAGCATATTTATAAAATTTCTTTTTCTTATTTATATGGAATCCAATGTACATTTTGTGCAAAATGTTGGTAATTTAATTTTAAAAGTTCAATAAGGAATAAATGTTTACTGGTATTTAAAAAAATCAACTTTTGATAAACTAATTTATTGTATAGTAAAATGTTTTAAAAAGTAATTTAAAAAGAGTATTTTGAAAAGTTAGTTTCCTTGATGTGCATTATTAAGACACTTGCTTTCTGAGCCCAGTTTTTCTTATGCATTCCACTGCTAAAAAATTACAGTAACAGTAAACTAATTTTCTTCTTATAATTATTTTTTTCAGTGACCCACCTCTTATAGAGGAAGAATTACCTACCGGGGAATGGCTTTGTCACAAGTGCAAAATTGCCCCTCAGGAGGTTTGTGAAACTAATTCTGAGTATGTTAAAAAGTTTCATTATTATTTATGTCAAGCTCACCACCTTAAGTTAAATTGAGATTTCAGGTCATCAATTTAGCATGTTTACATTGAGGGGCGACATACTTTCTAATGCACGCTTCCTTGGTTTCATCCTATTACTGAGCTACTGTGTAATGACAAAATAACTAAATTTATTATTTTTAAAGTCTCTGTCAAGCACTCTCCAAGTATGTTATCATTAGGTATAACTGGGGTATGTTTCCATTAAAAGGATCAAACCGATAGTAAGATCTATTTCAGATTATGGTTTTAGTACGGAATGTAAAATAAATTTCTATTCTTCAGGCTAAAGATGATGATGCAGAAAGTACATCAAGCAAATCCTCCAACAGATCAAATAGAACTAAAAGAACAGCTGTTCAGATTGATGCAGATGCAGAGACTGACCATCCTCTGAAAACATTGGCTAAAGCTGCACGTTTGATGAATCCCATGCAGTTTGATGTTGGTAAAGAAATATCATGCAATAAACCTTTGCCAGGCAAGTTGTACTATTTGTTTCTACTTATTTTTGCAAAACATAAGCAAAGAGTAATCATGTTTGAATTTTGAAATGTTTTTGTTCTCAGTATATTTTATGTAATGACATGATACAGTTAGGATAATTGTTATTTGGAATAAATACAATATCTCATATTCTTAAACTTTCAGGGAGTAGTAAAAGAGTTTATGGCAAAGCGGCAAAAAATATTCCTAAAAAGCAAGCACATGAGTTAGACAATGGATTAGTGCCATTACCAGCAAAAATATGTTTCTCGTGCAATAAGTAAGTTCCATCTCTAAAAATAAAATTCCCAGCCTTTATATCAACCATTAAAAAAAATTCTACTTATAGTAATATCTGAAGAAGTTTTCTGAATTGTACTTCATGATATGCTTTCCATTTGTGGTTCATAAAATGTATGCATTTGACAAACCTCGACTGGGCGATTGGTTTAAATAAATCCTCATCTTATACCTAATTGCAATATTTTGTTTCAGGAGCTGCCGAATAGCACCTCTAATTCAATGTGACTATTGTCCATTGCTGTTTCATTTAGACTGTTTGAATCCACCCCTCACTTCTTTGCCAACAGGGAGATGGATGTGTCCTAACCATGTTGAGCATTTTCTAGTAAGTTATCATTTAAAACAAAAGTATATAGTATCAGTTAAGATGGTTGAAGGGTAGAAGAGCTAATTTATTAAAATGACATTTAAAAAAAGGAAAATATATATTAAACTGAACAATTTTCATTTCTTTAGTTATAAATTATTATTTAAAGTAGATAAACTATTGTTTATGAGATTCTTTATAATTATTTTATGTATGCGCTAATTTTGGGTAATTTTATCAATGCAGGACTCTAACTTGGTTAAAAGCCAGAGCCTGACAGAGCGATTACGACTTTGGGATAGATATACAGGATTGGTGGATAGCCATACTGTGAAAGTTGATTTCCTCAATAAAATACATCGTAAATATCCAATGTTCAGGTTTAGGAGAAAGCTTCCTGCTAGACCCACTATAAGTGTAAGTTCTTATTTGTGTTAAGTTCTACATACAAAGTTTATAGATGTTTAAGTTGTTAATGTTGGAAAAATTTAACTTTAAAAAAGTACAGTCATTATATTTTATATTTATATTTAAGTGCATATATTAAATAAAATGGTGTGTTCTTTCTTTCAAGAGTTTTATAGCCATTTTAATTGTTTCTATAGTATAGTAGTTACTATCCTAATGTCTCATTTTTATTTTAGTTAGTTTACATGTTTTTAATCATTGTAAAGCGCTTAGAGCTTTAAGGTAAGCGCTATATAAAAATGCCTAAATAAATAAATGAAAAGAATTATCAGAGATATAGATGAAGTGAGATGAAACTTTTCAGATATGTAATGAATCAGAAATAGATTTAACTGTGTAATTAGTTTTTTAATTGTCTTTGAAGACAGTATACAATTTTAAAGGTATTTCCTTACCAAATTGTATAATTATTAATGGCTATCATTTGAAAAGTAATAATCTTGATAGTTTCATTTATGCTGTTCCCAGGTTCCTCCTGCTGTGAAGTATTTTTACCAAAACCCAACAATACTATTACCAGATCCAGCTCGCAAATTACCTGCTGCCAATAATTCCAACAATGTTCGGGGAACAACAATTGCAACTTTAGATGAACAGGAAGATGTAATTTTACTTCAAAACAATTTTATTACCTAATAAAACCATTTGTAGAAATTTGTACACTATAAAAATATGTAACAAGATCTACCCGAAATTTTTGGTAAAAAGCAGTGAAACCTTTTTTTTTGGTGAAAATATAACTTTTCCCCTATCCACAACCATAAAATCCATTTGGTCCCTTTAAAAGCATTTTATTTGCAAGTTAAAGCCACTGTGTTTAACCATTTAGTAAAATTAAACTATTTATAGTTCAATGTAAGGTCACTGGAAAGTGTGAGAATGAAGTTGCTGATACCAAAGTTTTCTAAAACTTTGAAATTAAACCTTATAATTTTCAGCAAAGTATTAGTTTTCGCTTGCATTGGATTATTTAAACTCTGTATATTTAGATTAAAGTATTTATTGGGTCCAATTTATATTATAAAGATAGTAAATGTGTCATTGAATTTGATTTCTTGAGATAGTAGTTTAATCAGTTATTTGTGTAATTTAACTTATTTTTAGTTGCTTTACAATTTTTGGATCAATATAATTAGAAGCTAATACTTATCCTTACTGGTTTCAGTGGTTGTCCAGTGTTGTTTCAATGCAAGCCAGTATTGCTAAATATTTGGCACAAAAACAGATACAAAAATCATCTGATAGTAGTCGTATTACAGACTTTGCAACAATAACAAGTAAGCCAACTGCATCAGTTGCACCAGTTGTTCAAAAAGAAATAGAGCTTTTATCAACTGGGTCAAACGATCCTGACCAGAAGTCAGTTTCAATATCCCCAAATAACTTTGCATCTGAATCTCTTGACTGTAATAGAAGCAAGCATCATAATTCTACATCAATGATCACAGATGAAGCAAAATCTATCTGCAACAATTCCTCTTCAGCTGTTGATAAAAATGGCTCTTTACAAATGGATGCCCCTAATCGAGGTACAGTTTCTCTCCTGGCAAATAACATTGCAAGCAACAATATGAACAATAGCAATACTTTCAGTTCCATTTCAGGAGATGTGGAAATGTCAGATTTTCTGCAATCAAAATGTGCAGAGGTAGCACCTGAAGAATTAGGGTCATCATTACGGGTCAGGAGTAACAGTGTAGATTCCATTCCTTCTTCATCATCATCCTCATCTATATTAAGACCACTGCGAATGGGATGTGATAGCAACAGTGTCAATGGAGAAAGCAGCAGTAGCAAAAGTTGTGGCAGCAAAAACATTATTATTAATGCTATAAAGAATAACTCTGTTGTCACTAAAGTTTTGTCTGGAAAACCCCAACCAGCAAAGGTAATTAATGGAAAATGAAAACTTATGTCATTTAATTCATGTAGTAATTTGTGTCCTTAATAATTATTATTTTAACTAGCTTTTTGTCTTAAGAATTTATTTTCAAATTATGGACATCATTTACACAAATACCAAATAAGTGGCAGATCAGTTCTACTACAGAACTGAGTTACAATAAGATTTTGGTTGTGTTTTGAAATTCCTTTCTTTGTGTCAACATTCCTTATATGTTGAGAAAATGTCTTCTTTTCCCCTGATAATTCTACATTTCCTTTACAAAAAATATTATTAATGCATTCATATACAACTGTCTACCAGGTAATCCTGCCCAGCAATAGATCACCCTTTCTTGGAAACAATATTAACAATAACAACCAATCTCAGCGAGTAATTGTGCAACCTTCTAGCAAGCCACAAGTGTCCAGTAACAATTTAAGCGCGACATCCAAAGTTATAACTGTGTCAGCCACACCTTCAGGTACTAATATAGTCTGCAGATGTAAGAATGTTTTAAAAAATTTAAACAAATTCACATTTTCAAGTGGGTGTTTTTTTATAGGCTACCTTAGTATAAGTTATATTACATATATTTTCATCGTTTCCCTTTTTTAAAGTGCGTAATTCAAGCAGTGTGACAAGTTCCCAGAAGACCAGCAATATAAACAATATAATTGGTTCTTCACCAACAATGGCAAATTTAAACAGTCTGCTCCAACAGTGGATTGAAGGAAATGCAGGTAGACGATAACTTTTTTCCCCTTCAAACTTAACATCTTTTTAAAATTTTTTTTAATTAAGAGTTATGACGTTGGTACTTTGGTAATGTAAGGAAGACCACCAAATTTGTGTTTGAAGTGGGTATCTGCCCAGTGGAATCCACTGGTCCCATTTATTTTGACATTATTAAAGAACTTTTTCTTGATTTATCTATTATTACCCGTTGTTGTTTAGAAGACATCTAGACTTTATTAGAATTAATTTTGTAAATTAATTTTGCTCTCACCCCTTAGTTAGACTTATCTGCAGTGAATAAGGGTTACAGTTACTTGCATGATGAAAAAATTAAAATGAAAAAAAAACCACCACCTTTGGTTAATATTTCTACCCAATATCATTGAGTTAGTTCTTTGCTTTCAACAATTATATCTCTGTGGAAAAAATACACCTTTTTGCACCAACACTTCTTTGTCATGCCAGCCACTCACCTCTTTTATGCTGGAAAGATACTGTCATGTAAAATTCTAATTAATTTACAATATATTTAACAAAATAGCAAAATTATTATTTACAAAAAATCTTTCTACAGTAGACATTGAATTCTCAAAGATTGATGAGCAGCTCACTCAAATTCTTGCATGGCAGCGTCTTCAACAATTAATGCCCTCCAAATCACCACCTCAGTCAACCACACCAACATCAACACCATCAAGCGCACCTCTTTTATCTTCAAATAGCAAGAAAGGATTGCTAAATGTTTATTTGTCTCAACAAAGTAAGTTGGCTTACTATTTTATGATAAAATATTGCTCACACTGAGAAAGGGAAAATCTGTGCTTCTGATTTGTATAAGGCACCTAAGAAATATTTTAGACACTGCTAACCAAGCGGCCAACTATCTATTAGGGGGGTCTGATAGGGTATATTAGTCAGGGTATCCATTTTCATAAGACAATGTGTGAATTAATCATTTGTGATGTAAGATGCCCATACTTCATAATGTATTTTTTAATTTAACAATGAAACTATAAATATCCTCAATTTTCTTTTCTTACACAACATGCTGCCAAGGAATCACATTAACAACTTTTAATTTAAAAAATATGGGTGTAAGGTGGTATGCCATGTCTTTTTATGACACAAGTGTGCAGATCACCTTTAAAATTCTTTTTAAAAAATTCATTCAAAAAATTCTAAACTGGAAAATCTCAAAGTGAAAGAAAACAATTACATTGGTAAAAATATTATGTTCACAATCACAATGTTTCAAATTATATAATTTTTTACTGTTTGAGGGTACCCTTTCCCTGATGTAGTTCATTTAAGTTTAAGCCTCCTGTTCTGAAGTTTCTGCCAGCTGGCCTTAATATCTTTGTATGATTAAAATGCAATAAACTATTATTTATCTAGCTTTCTCTGCCCTTCACATAGGCACAACAGAGGTTCGGTCAAGGGCTGTTCTATGCCCACTCTCTGGAAAAGGCCAAGCAATACCAATGCCCTACAGGTCCTTGAGTCTGGGAACAGGTATGTGGTTATGGGTTTGGTGTGAACTTAAAAGCTTTTAACTTTCTTCAGATTTTTCACAGATAAATATTGACAACCTGGGGGAAAGGTGGGTGGAGGTGAAAAAAAAGGGGGTGGGGGCGTTGCAAGAAATATACATTGTAGAAATCTTTTTAAAACCAAATATTGGGAAGTATAGAAGAAATTATTAAATTTAGATAAGTTAAGAAATCAGTTTAGTTTATGAAATAATTTTGCTAAAAATTGTTTTCAAAAGCTTCCTTTTTTTTGAGGCAGGTTGAAAGATCTGAGTTTATATATTTTACATTGTGTAGTTTTACTGTAGTTGCATGTCATAAAAGATGTCTATTACTGCAAAGCAAACTAAATAAGTTATTTGGTCTGCATGTTTTTGGACAGAATTTTTGTTTGTGTGATTATTATACCCTGATGTTTGTTCTAGGTGCTGACATGGATGTGTGTTTACATGAGTATGGGCATTGTAACTTTATCTCTGGTCATCATGCTACCATATTTTATGACGAGGTGAGAATCTACATTTCATAATTCACCATCATGTTTTTTTGTTTATAATTTTATCAGCTTTAAAAAAAACTAATAGTCGGAATAACAAGTTATTGTGAATTTGTAGACCTAATACGATTTTGGTGTAAAATGTACAATTTTGAGATACCTTTTACGATTGTACGCCAAGACCCGTTATGATTATGATTTTAAGAGACCCAGTTGAAAATATATACATTCTGGTAGCTTTTCCGATTAAAAAATAATAATTAAAAAGTACATTGTTGGTTGTTAGTTTTAATTTACATTTGCCTTCTACATTCAGCAGTGAATGGAACAAGAAATATATTTGGCTGGGGACCATCTATAACTATACCGGTACTATGAGAGGGGAATCGAGTAGTATTGATTTTGGATATTTAGTGTACAGGCGTGGAGGGGGGACGACGACACACTAAATATTTAAGTATCAAATTAACACAGCAACATTTCGGTAATGGTACGAGTGATGGTCCTATTGTTGCTTTGTGTTTTTATAATGAACTCGCTAGACAGTAATATTTGTGTTGTGCCCTAGTGACAAATTTAGGTAATCTCGGGCGATCTTTACGCCCTAAGGGGGGTTGTCGATATTTAGATTTTGACTACATTTGCGTGGGGGGGGGTGTCTCTGTAACATGTTTATTGGCGTAGATTTTGTTGGGCTACGCAAGAGGTTCTAAAATTTAAATTACCTGGCATCTTTGCCAAAGTCAGGTTTTCACCAGGCTCCCTGTGTTAAATTCCTACAAGTGCAGTTCAAAAAAGCGAATACATAAACAAAATAAAGGGTTGGGTAAAAATAAATATAACATGTTTGTAGGTCACTCAGCGCCTTCTAGTAACTGCAAACATTACTCAAGTGAGTTACTGTTTGCACCATGACTGCTATATGTCACATTGGATTAAAGTTGAAAAAAAATTTATGAAATTTTTTTAATATTTCGCAACGTCCCTGTTAGCTTTCCGCAGCAACCCATATAGAAGGGGGGAGGGTGGTCTTGTCAAAAAAGTAAGTGTGCAAATGGCGGGAGGTAATTTTAAAAAAAATTTTGCGTTTGCTTCGGTGATGTATGATGTAATTTTGTGACATAATTATTTCTTACTGTTTGAACCGCGATGAGCGCAGAAACTGAGAAAACTAGACAATGCATTCTTCACTGTTCCGCGCAGCAACATTAGATTTCGACATTTAATAGGATCTGAGAGGGCCTTTGAAATCTATTTGATTTGCCTTTAAAAATATATTTTAAAAAAATCTATTTATAAAACGCACAAAAACAGCGAAATGATTTTTATTGTCCCCTCTTTCTGTCACCCATTTACAGTTTTTGGTAGTTATCAGACTGTAATTTCTTAACGGGAATATGCATACTGCATATTAATTTTTTTTAAACTTGCTTTACTAAAATATTAATCTAAAGTTACTGGCTGGTAGTTTTTTTTAAATGACACCCTAATTTGTTAATTAATTCTGACTTCGAGTTTTAAGCACGTCCACGTTAAATTTCACCAGTAACTTTATTTTTACCAGTAACAGACTGGGATAATGTGATCTAAACGTTCACCTAAATATAGCAGATACACATCTGCAAAACATAGTAAACGTCAGCCATCTACCTTTAGAAGTAAATTGCTTGACGCCAATTAACTCGATCTCACTAGACACGTGATGCGAGTTATTGTATACATTATATATTCTGTATATTTATTTATTTACTATTAAGACACTGTATTGTATGATTTTGAGACAATATTGTATGATTTTAGAAGTACGAGGGTAAACAGGTCTGAATTTGTCATTTGTAGGAGAGTAGTTGAATAATTATAGCAATTAGATGTGAAATCTAAAGGATGGTTTTTTGAAGGTCCACATGTGTGGGAGAATATTTTAAATAATATGATAATTATATGTGAAATCTAAAGGATGTTTGTGATGGTCCACATGTGTAGGGAAATTGTTGAATTGCCTAGTATTTACATTTAACCAGACCTGTTTACTCTTACGATTTTGGCATACAATGTACGATTTTGAAGTGTATATATTATATATACTGCATGTTTATTTTTTTACTATTAAGATAATGTATTCCTAATGATTGATTCTCATGTAGACTGCTCTGACTAGCTATACATATCTATGCAGTCTGGTGATAATTTCCTACGCAATGATATCTTTTACTTCTAAAAAATTCATTCTTTTAAAATCAAATTAATGTTTTGTATCCCAGATGCATAGTTAATAACAATTATGTTGCAGATGAGCCGACATTTTGAGCTCTTAAACTACAGTGAGCACGGTACGACTGTGGACAATGTTCTATACTCTTGTGATTTCTCCGACAAATCTGCTACAACACCTCAGCCTAGTCATGTGATATCTGCTGTCAGAGAAATTATCAAAGAAGGGCAGTTGAAAAATGGCAACAAGGGAATCAAGAAAGAGGATACAGAAGACAAGCTAAGAATGTCAGCCAGAGCTAACGGGGTAAGAATAGTTTTCATTAAATTTTAACATAATTTGCTAATACAGTGTTTTCTGTACAAGCAACATTGTCTCACTGACATTTTGAACAGTATTTGAAGAAGTTTCACTGTACCGGTATTTATTTCTTAGATACAGAATAATTTTTGTGCATTACATCAAAGTTGACTTGAACAACAAGAAATTGAATATGTTTGACACAGCTTTATTTTAATTTTGAAGACAGGCAGTTTTATTGTGAAAGAATTATGTAAATACATAGATATGTTAGAAAAAAAAATTATATTTTCGATATTTCTCTTATTTGGTAGGTTTCTTTAAAAAGTATATAATTTAATTCACTAATGTATTTTTCCTCCTCAGGCATCAAAAGCATGCAGCTGTAAGGGAAGTAGCTCAAGTCTCATAGGTGGCAGTGGAGCTGGATGGGAAGGCACAGCTTTGCTACATCATGGCAGCTATATCAAAGTCGGATGTCTGCAGTTTGTCTTTAGCATAGTTGATCATGCCCCTGATCAACCCATGCGGCAGACACATGAGACACAGTCATCTTCCACCACCCGGTTTTCATCTATGCCCTTGATATCTTCATCCCCTCATCTGCACAATCAGCCTTCTATGTCATTGTTGAAAACACACCTTAAATCAGCTGCACTTCCTTGATGAGCAAAATCAGGCATTGGGACAGTGTATCGCAGTTTCAGGATTCACAATCAGGATTGTGTTTGCAGGAGAGATAGTTTTTATAAACTTTCTATTAAACTGTATTTATCTGAAGACAAAAAGAACATTACTTCCCTTTTGAAGAAATGTTTTAGATTCTATTCACCAAGCTGAGCTCCTTCCTATTTGATAGTTTTTTTTGTTTTTTGTTTTTTTTGAAGTAATGTAAATGAATCATAAAAAATTATTTGCTCAAAATATGAAATCTATGTATAGCGGAGTGGTAATGGCGGCAATACAGTTTTAAATTTAGTTTACAAATACTAGGAAAATGAGGTATTGAGAACTATAGCTTTTTATTTGCTCTGACAGTATGGTAAACAAATAGAAAAAGCAGAAGAAAAAGAACCAAAGAAAAGGGACAATATGAAGCGATCAGATAGACTGGTGAAATGATTAAGAACTAAGGTTGCTTGCTACAAATTGTCTCCATCAATTCAAAATCAGCAGGTCGCATCGGACCTGCCTGATAAAGAACACACAGGAGAACAATGACGTCTTCATCACAGGATGGTCCCTTACGATGCATGAGTGACGAAACAAAAGAGGTTTGGGCCCAACACAGTGTTGTGCTACTTTTAATTTTGGTGGATGTGTATGTGTTATAATATAGCCTGGGGTTTACCCACTGTTATCAAAGTGACCCTCAGAGCATGTTACCTTATTACTATTAAGTGGCAGCTTGCCACATTTGTATGATATTTTAGTTAGATATTACTTATGACAAAAATGGAATTTGAAGACTAAACCAGCTTAAATTATTTTTTGGGCTCATCTCATTTGTTTCATTCTTTGTCCTCTAATTTTGCTACAAGTCCATATTGTATAAACTAATCTCAATGTACATAAATTTGATTATCATGCAGTTTAAGTGGCTGTGTATCATTTAGAAAAGGATAAGCTTTCCTGGTGACAACTCAATAAAAGCAGAGAATGTTGTAAAAATGTACAGAAATCTTAAATACAAAAATTTCAACAATCAACATGTGATTGATTGTAAACATGCGGCCTTTTGTTGCTAAAGCATTTTAAGTGAACTCAGGAAAAAGACATTCAGCAGTTAAGTAGACTTCTTTATTAGAATAATTTCTTTAAACTAATTTTTTTTAGACCTAAATTAATATACACACAGTTGTTTGAATCACTATTACCATTACTGAGAAAAAAATTAAATCATGTATTTACACCAATTATATTGTTTGGCTAAACTTAATTTGTAATAAGTTTTCCGACAATGAGCTCTCCTGTTTGGCATTATTTGCTGCTTGCGCTGAGATCACTACTTGTATACGCACTCATCCCCCTAGTTTGATGTATTTTTTAATTTTATGTGTGGAAATGGCGAAACATACCATAAATCACTCTTAGAATGTATGTTGAATGAGAAAACAAGAAATGCTCTGCCCATTTCTTCATTTTTTAAATGGGGTTTAAACTCGTATTCCTTAAATATTGACTATCAATTTCCTGTGATTTATCTTTAGTAATTAAAATAAGTTGTCTCGGTTCATATCTCTCCAAGATTTTATTAAGTTATATTATCCATTTTCCTTAGGCTTTTCAAATTTCGTAATTGCAAAATGATTGTCTTTTTAGAAATAATTTCTGTTAGTATTTTTTATCATGTTATAGTTTTTAAGCCAAATATTTGGTAATTAAAGTTTGTTATTTCGTTCAAAACGATCTGAATATGGACTAAGAATTCATTGATTGGACCTATTTTTAATATATTTTTTTTCAGTGATGATCGATCATTGTAACTTGACAGTATTCTAAACATCAATGCCCTGTACTATAGTCATACCGGTGCAAGTAAACAAATAATGTAAAGTTTTTGTATAATGTTAGAAATAAAATGAAAGTACACTCTGTTGTCTAAAAAGGTATATTTGTACTCTATGTTCTAGTGTTTAATTAAACTTCATGTTGAGTGTAATGAGACAGGTTTTGAAACAGTGTTCGAGTGCATTATAATTTTGTTATGTAATGCTAAAGAAAAAAATATTAAAATAATAATTCATCTAAGAAAAACTATAGATATAATCATGTAATTATCAACTTAAAGTGAGCAAATTATTTTAAAATGTTTCCTTTCATACGAGTCAGTATCTTAGAATTTTAGTCTTTGATGGAAAATAATGTGTTTTTTTTTTTTATGAAATGAGAAATATCATATTGAGGAAGCTGCATAATATTGTGTTTGCTCAATCTGATGAGCCATAATTGATTAAGAAATAAATTTCCAAATTGTAGTGAGATCAATAACTTGATTTTTTTGTGAGCATACACCTGTTTTGTTACTATTCTCAATACCACATTGCTACAATTTGTAGCTAACCTTTTGTAACTTTCAGTGATATATATATATATATAAATATATATATTTTGTTCAACAGCTTTTCAAATGAAATATTTTGTATGTTCTTAACCCTTTTTAGAAACAAAAGCTGATATCAGAAGGTAAGAGATAATACATTATTTTTGTTCTCAACCAAAAGAGAATAAATGCATTGGTATAGGACTGCCAATATGGGCAGTTGAGAAGTGAATAATACTGTAGGCTGCTACAAAAATATAATTTTTTGTTTGTTGCATTTCTTATTTTATTACAGAAATGTGTTAATAATGTATGGATGGTCCCAAACCCCCCAAAAAATGAAAATTGAATCTGGTCCGTTGTAATCTGGAAATTAAATTATTCTTAGTTTGGTTTTATTTTGTCAGGGAATGATAACATGGCAGCTAGCAAACAATTATATTTCTAAACTCCTGTGCTCTTTTTCTAATAACAAACAAGTTTACTTATTTGGTTATATGAACCTTTAAAAATCAATCTAGTTTGTACAACAAATTAGAATTTCCAATGGGTCAGTGCGGTTGTTTGGTGTTTTAAATCATATTAAATCCCTTTAAATTTCTCAAGATTGAATGACTTCCTTGAAAAGTTTAATTAAATTCTTGTCTATGAAATAGCATGCCCATGTTAAAAAATTAATGTCATATTTCCCACCTCACATATTGTTCATTCATATATTAAATGAAACGGTTAGTTAATTTTACAGTATATCTCTTTCTTCTGCTTTTAGCCACACCACTTCACAATTGAAATGCTAAAGACAAGGGATTATAGGAATGAATGTCTGAACTTGATGAGATTAGTTGGACTACAGATTCTATGACTATTATTATTTTAAAAAATGTAACAATTTCACCTTCACTCATTTTCTTACGATCACAACCAATTGTAGACATTTTCCTTTCTTTTCTGTAGTTCTCTGTGGATGCACAAATTTTCTTATTTCTCTGTATTGAAATTTTCCTGAGAACCTGTTGATAACTATTCAATATTCTATCTCAAAGTTTGGTTGAAATGCTAATTGTACATAAGCTGAACATATCAGTATGAGCTTACTCTGAATATATCAGTATGAGCTACAAGAAATATCAGAATAAAGTTTAGTCATTCAATTTCAATACTGCAGTTTTTAAGTTTTCTATGCATCCATAGCAGCTATGGTTGAATAATTTACTTATTTATTTATTTATTTAGGCATTTTTATATAGCGCTTACCTTAAAGCTCTAAGCGCTTTACAATTATTAAAAACATTAAGTAAAATAAAAATGAAAAACCAGTGACACTAGGATAGTAACTGCTATACTATAGAAACAATTAAAATGGCTATAAAACGAGTACACTTTGGCACGTTTTGGCCTAAACTACAGGATCAACCCGAGACAGAAAATGAGGCAGGGCAAGGAGGGTGCATCACAGGTCATAGGCGGACCTAAACAGATGGGTTTTAAGGGACTTTTTTTTTTTTTTTTCCATCTTTAGTAGAAATAATTCACCACTTTTTTTTGGTTTATACACTATAAAATATGTTATAGAATTTTTAATTCAACAGTGTCAAATGAGGTGTTCCATGGAAAATTTGTGTCAATATTTAAGGAAATGTTATTTTTTTTTTTTTTTTTCCATCTTTAGTAGAAATAATTCACCACTTTTTTTTGGTTGATACACTATAAAATATGTTATAGAATTTTTAATTCAACAGTGTCAAATGAGGTGTTCCATGGAAAATGTGTGTCAATATTTAAGGAAATGTTTAGTGATCTATTTGCCAAACTTATAACCAATGTGATGGAGAATTTTGTGTATTCTAGTCTATGGATGACGTTTTTCAATTATCTTGATCACTCTCAAACATTCACTAATGAATTAAAATGAAATGCATCGATTGTGTCTCTTAACCAGAAACCTGAAAGTGTTTTTCTTGAATGATTGGTGCACAAAAAAAATGTTTGAAACAAATGATTACATCAGTAGTTTGCACAAGTAGCAGATCTCTTGTAGAGCTGTTCAAATAAGGCCTAAGAGTCATATGGTTAATTGATAAAATTTCAAAGAAATTTGTCAGTGTTCAACCTTATTGGCCTACTCAATTGTTCATGAAGGATGACTTTTTCCTTTCTTTATATATTAAGGTCGATTGTGCTGACATTCCAAGAAGTAATAATAATAATAAATGTTAGGATTTAAAATTTTTTAGCCTTTTTATCTATTAATAGTCTACGTAGAAATTTAAATCTATGCTGTTACAGGTTATAGTATGCAATGTTATATTGGTATGTATTCACAACCTCTATGTATGTCAAAGCACTCTCATTTTATCTACTATAAAAAATGCATTCTCTTTGGCACTTAAGTTGCAAAGGCACATTTTATTGAAGTGTTGTTTATCAATTCGCCATTGGAGGTATTTGAAATGGTTTATGTTTAAAATACATTTATATGTAGTTGTAAATAATGTATGTTATTGCCTATGAATTGTACAAATATTTTTCTTCAATGCTAACAGTGTCTATTTATTTATTAAAATGTAGTAAATAAAAAAATATGATTTCTGTTTTGTTTAAGAAAGGAAAACACTAAACACTA